TTCTATGATTCTGTGATTCTATGATCTCACTGCGTGTTCTTTCTACACAGTAGCTCCATTGTGGGGTCAACACCGAACTGAGTAATGAGCTTTAGGAACTTTCCTATTATTCCAAAGACTTTCCCTAAACCTAGTTTCACTTCCAATAAAGGAAAGTTGCTCTTGGGCAGGCAAGCTCTCCCTCAGTAACAAGGTTGAGACCCGGGCTGTCTGTGCTTGGCTCTCACAGCTGTCTTGCACTCACCATGAAATTTCTGAAGCAGACACTCCATGAGACAAGTAAGTGGCAGCACAAGCAGCGCCAAAATAAATGCCACGTTGAAATTCAGAAAGCCGTTGATGAAATAGAAGGACCAGGGTTCCATACCTAAAGGATGAGAAAAGGAAACAAGAGTTTTCAAATACAAGCATGTATGAGATCTATATGGAACAGCAGCTTCATTCCTTCTCTGCCTGACACAGACTGAGATAATCAGCAGCAGACATCAATTCTCCCCATTGCAAGCATATTGGAACCAAAGAATGGAAAGGGTGTGGACAGAACGTCTTGCAGCTGGACAGAGGATGCAGCCGAATGGAATGAGCCTGAGCCATCTCAAAGCAGTCTCATGGTTCTGCCCCTCACCCATAAAACTGCCATAACAGTGGCATGAGAGTTATTCAATAGCCATACAAAGGCACCAGAGTATCTCACAATCATGTCTGCCCAAGAAACTTCATTGTCTTCCTTTTCAGAAATTTTCTCCTTCCTTTTTCACTGGGTCATAGTCAATAGCACATCTACTGCTCATGAATCACAGGCCACTCTAACAGTCAGCCTTGCCCCCAGCAGTGTTCCGTGACACAGAACTCACCCTTGCATTAAGAAAGCCTACACAGCAAGAAAGTAGAGATGGAAACTTGTAAAACTAGGAAATTTGACTCCAAATTCATTCTTTCTAATTGCAGAGAAGTAACAGAGGAATAACACAAAAACACACAATGTTAATAAGAGATCATTATAATTCTGGAGTGATGATGTATACTCCATGTTGGCAGAAACAGAAAATGTACTAAAAAGGAACAAGAAAAAGAGTTCACATTCACACTTCACCCCAACAAAGACTCTGCCACTAAAGTTCATCCAGATGCTAGTTTTGGTACCTCCTTAGAGTCAACATTATTTAAAATGTCCCTACTTCAGTTTGTTCTTACATTGTAGCTTCAAACAGGAGCACACCAACTCTGTCTCCTAACATGACATACTTGGGTATTGGTTTTGGAAGCTTTGAAGAATGTAAATTGAAAGAAATTCCAGTCCAACTGTCATTTATTTGGACTCTCAATTCAGAATGCTTAAAATCCTGAACAATAAGGAATGCCAGTTCCTCTCCACACATTTGCCACTCTCTCGGTGTGATTAGCTCAATCAGTCAGTAAATGACATGTGGGGGCTTTAATCACTGCACTGTTGTGACATGTGTCACATGCTGCAGCAATTTCCTGCAATCAGAGCCACTTAAATAGGGTCCATGTTGAAATTAATCAGACAACTAAAAAGCAGCAAGGAAAACCCAAAACCTCTGCAGCTCCTACAGCTAAATAAGATTAGAAGCTGCACTAGTAATATCAGAAACATGTCATTGGAGTTACTAAGGCGAAGTCCAAGCAATTGAGGTTCATTTAGGAAACCTTTAGCTATTAGCGCTGAAAGCGAATAGCAATTACAGATTTGGATTTTGGGGAGCAGGGGACCTCAACGGAGTGAATTATTAGAAATTCACTTTTACCTGCCTCATAATTCTTGCAAGTCCCACATAAGCACAATCCTCAGCCTGCGAAAGGCTGAATATGGGATATGATAGATTGAAAGATCATGTCAAGTGATGGACACGACAGTTATCTGTATGGCAACATTGCAATAGTACCAATGTCCCTTCCTCCTTCTCTAGACTCTGTTGGTTACTCTCCATTTTTAAGGACTGCAATTCTAAATAATCACTGTGACAGATCTTGAACACATGCAGAAAGCAGATCATTTTAGGACTGAAGCATACTATCCTTCCTAGAAATCAGGGCTGCTGACTGGGATATGTCTGTGAGGGAAAATCTGAGGCAGTCTGGGGTATCACACTGTAAATCTTCCAGTGGACATCCAGAAAAAGTGTGTGTAAAGGGGGCTTTGGTTTCTCCCAGCCCTGCCGCTTCCAGATTCTCTCCTGAGGCAATAGTACAGGTTTCTAAAGACTTACAGCAGGATTAACACTGGCCACTCTAGTAACTACTTCTGTGGAGTACCAAGGCCTCTCCTTACATAAAAAAGGACTGGAACTGGTTTCTGTAGCCTGATTCCCCACTCCACTGCTATAAACAACAGCCACGTTATCATAGAAGATGCCAGGATGAGATAGAAAGCTTCTTACACTGATATGAACTGATTAGCCTCCAGTGTTTTCTGGCTACAATTACACTGCACAGCATAGCCAAGTCTCGAATCTTTAAAGGATAGTACCAGCGACTATACTGCCACCCTTCTACCTGCTTTGGCTGCTACGGAAAGTAAAGGAAATTAATTATGGCTCTCTCTAGTCTAGTCTCTGATTTGGTAGCCTGGGACTCAGGAATGAAGGACACTTCATGAAGCACATCTCCACAATCCAGGTCCAGCCTTAAAGGCCCAGAGGTGTCCTGACGGACTCTGCTAATAAAGAGGTCAGCTGGTCTGAAGCAGAGCTTTAACAAAAAGGCCACTTTCTCAGATTTTTTTGCAGTGTGACTGAATTGCCCTTAAGAACTAAGCACTGAAATCTCCCCTCCTTCTCCAATGAGGGATTTTCTTCTCTGGGTGAGGAGAAAAAAAAAAAAAGGAAAAAAATATGACAGGAGAACAGTGCATTACAGAGGCAAGTTAAATTTAAATAATTCACAGACACCAGGCAAAAAGCAATAGGCTTGGTTACTGTGATGACTCACCCATTCAGAGGCATTCAGTCTCAATGCCTCCCAGGGCAAAATGCTTTTATTCTTGTTATCCACAATGACTCAAGGTGATCTGAGAAAGAACTGTAATATAAAAAAAGAACAAGAAGAAGTCCTGGCCCAGAACAATGTCTTTCAAGCAGGGAGGGGCACTAAAGAACTCTCCATGCACAGTACTGATGGGAAAATGCTTCCATAGCATCGCCTTCAGAACATGACAGAAGATTTAATTTCCTGCAAGTATCCCACATGCTAGAGCTGAGCAGATGTGGGCTGTAGGAGAGAGACTGATGAAAGCAGTGGGAAGAACACTGTGGCCCAGTCAGATCTCGGCACTATGCTTCCATGCGGATAACCAACTGGAAGCACTGTCAGACACTGAGCCAGAAACTGCTTTGAACTTTGTGCTCTATGACAGGCTCCTGGAGCATCTAGAAATCAAACTCACACACAAGTTAATAGAACTTAACAAGCTACCATGCTGCAGCTTGACCGCAGCAACGGTGAGGGCGGCTCAGGACAAAGCAGAGGAGTTGTAAAATAGGCTTAAACTAAGGTGCCCCACCCTATGTTTGCCACAGGCTAAAAGCCTGCATGCAGACAGGAACTGTAGCTCAGCTGTTAAACAGTAACTAAGCCGCAATAATTTGATCATGAGTCACAGCCCTCATTCTAAGCAAGTCTGACTCAGTACTAGTATAATAAACAGTCTGCATTCTGCATTTCATTTATTTTCACTCTATTTAAGAGCCAGGAC